CAACCCCAACCCCTCGCATTTATCTGTTTTTTTTTAATTGAAAATCCGATCGAAAAGGTGATGTCCTGTTGGTTGTAATGCCACGTAGGAGGCGAGATGATTGTCGTGGAGGGGATCGAACCCGCACCAATAGCACGGCCGGTAGTCGGGGGTCCAGCCAATAGCACGGCCGGTAGTCGGGGGTCCAGCGTTTGTCAAACGCTGGACCCCCGCGTGTTGCCCGGTGCGTGTCGGTGGTTCAGCGTTTGTCAAATGCTGGACCCCCCGCCAATGGCTCGGCCGGTGCTCAGGGGGGTTCAACATTTTTGAAAGATAGAGGGTTCAACGCTTGGAAGACGCTGGACCCATGACTGCCGGCAGCGACAGACGAGGGATGTCCAGCGTCGGGAAAGCGCTGGTATCCCCCCCGCCCGCCCCCGTTCACATTTGGTGCCATTGAACGTCTATTTTTTTTTTACTTTTGATTACCGTCGCTCCTCCCCCCCCCCCCTGTGGAATGAGCGTCGCCGGAATGTGCCCTGCGATTGCTTCTGTTGTTTTCTATATCCCGTCTTGCGCTGCGTGAGATAGAGATAGGTGACATTCATGCATCGCTCGTTTTTTTTCTTATGGATATCTCCTCCAGGGAGAGGTCGTAAGGGTCCGAGTGATGCGGATAAGCGGTACAACAACAGATCGAAACTGTATCGCGACAAGCTGTGGGCTCTCGACTGGGTCGGAGTGACCGGCGAGCCCGGTTGCGGTGCTTCTGTGTTTTTGACGGAGGACGAAGGGGCGACCTGGTACTGTTGTGGTGGCATCATCAGGTCTGAAATTCACAAGGCCACGATGGAGAAGGGCAAGGTCAACGAGGGAGACTTAAGGAAGTTCTTCCTCACTTCAGTGTACGATGAACAGGGTGCCGACAAGGTCAAGACTGACCACAAGGTCATCCTCGACCTTGCTCTATTCAAGGGGTATGGTCAGAAGGCATTCGCTATGAAAGTCGTCGGCAGCAAGGGAGATGGGAATGAGTTTATAATGCTCTTACCCGTTGAATTCCTTAGCAAGACCAACGGGTATAGGAAAAGTGGTCAATTCCCGACGGTCGCCGCTGGTCACCATCTCACGATGCCTCTTGTGTCGTTCGACACTCCTGTCGAAAGTCTCGCAGGCTTATCGACGTGCTCTAGCGATCGGCGGCAGGTTGTATCGACAACGCAACAACCTATTGGCGGGAAACAGAAAGTCATTACTTGCTCAAGGCGTTCAGCGGGTGGGTCATCGACGACGACCCCGAAGACGATGGAGCTCGCCAGACGTCCTTTGAAACTTCCAGAAAGCTCTCGTGTTGTTGCCAGCTCGCGCTCGCGGGACACCCCGCAACATCAAATGGACGAGGAGTCGAACGAAGAAACGGAGGAAGACGAACGGGTTCGTAAATTGGATTCGCGGTTCTTGGCAACAGCTGGGCACAACCGGGGCGAAGGCTCTTGCGATGTGAATGTGAGGCGGGAAGCTGGTGGAGGTGGCGAAGCCCGGCTTGGGGGCGATGGAGAATATGACGAAGATGAAGGCGAGTGTGGTAGTGGCGAGCGACAACAAAACGTTGGAGGTGGGGCACCCCATTGTGATGGAACGGTGGAGCAAATGAAGTGTGACAGAGTTGCGGCGAGTGGTGGGGTGGAATATGGCGGTCAGGGTGGTTCGGAAATGGAAGACGGCGAATTGGAAGACAAAAGAGGAGATGTCGGTGTTTCCGCGGGGCTGACTTCCAAGAGGGGGGGAAAACGCAAAGCGGAAGAGTCGCCGACGCCAGCTGCGCCTAAGAAGCAGGCTCGAAGGAAAGCTGTGGACGAAGCTCGGGTCGCCTTGGATGCATCTCAAAAAACGCTTGGTGAACCCGATGTGAAGCGCAAATCAAGTGCTCGGATTCGCAAAATGTCAAAACCCAAGAATCTTGTGCGGCTGTCAAGGCACCAAAAATCAGACGACTTCTGCGACGACGCTCAAGGGGTGGCCCCTCGCTCGACGTTGAACAGGAGACGAAGAAACCCAGTGCGGTCAACATGACGCAATGCTACTTCCTCGAGTACGATAAGGAAGGCAAAAAGAGAAGAGACCCTCCGAGAGTGGTAATTGATGTTATGCAAATCCTTCGAATTCCGGAGGGAGATATCACCTTCAATCAGCGATCGCTGAACATGGCCATCCTTCCAGGCCTCGATGCGGCTATCAAGTCGTCGACTGGGCCAAGGGCCGAGGATGATCCTGCTCCGTGGGAACCACCAGAGTTGGTGTTGGCTCCAATTACGCCATGGAAGGACGATCCGGACAGGCAAGGGACACGAGTCCTTCGAAAGGACTTCGATCCCGATAGGGCGGACGAGTACTTCTATTACCCGGTTGCCGGCCAGTATACTTCCGAAGCCATGAAAAGAGTAGTGGCGAGGAATTCCACAGCAGTGGACGTGTTCGGCTTTCGAAATTATGATCGTGTACGGATCATTTATTTCGACGACGACCACACGAATGGGTATGTGTATGTTTCGACATACGACAACACGAGAGGTGACCGCGCTATGTTGCCATCGTTCCACCAAGCCTGCCAAGACATTAGAAATTTCAAGGATTCGAAGAACCGGATCGGACCTGTGGGGAATGTGTCCAAAATGGATCCCACCGGTTTGGCGCACCAGGAAAAGTGGAGGAATTTCATGAGAGTTTGCATGGGGCGGTCATGTGACAAATCCTTGTGGACTGAGTCTTTGGCTCCGAAGTGGCAACAGGGCTAGACGAACAGGATGAGGGGATACATGAATGTCGCCACATGTAGGGACCGGATATGGCCATTGGTGAAGGACTTTTTTTAGAAGTTCGAAGCGGGGGAGTTGCCGCTACACGACAACAAGTGTCTAGAGGACTTGCCGGGGAGGCAGGAGGGGCGCATGCCGGGCCAATTCGTTGAAGAGGTGCAAGGGAAGAAGGAGGTGTTCCACTAAATTCCAGCTAAGGACGGGGGACCAAACACAATGGTGTCCTTCAAAGATCTCATTCCGTCAAACTTCAAATGTTTTGGGGATATGACAGCACGAGAGAAGGAAATCGCTTTGCGTTTGATGATCAATAAGAAAGTCATCGCCACAACTAGACAAGTTCCTCCTGGGAAGATAAACATGACGAACCTCCTCGACATCATAATGCGTGAGAGATACATGACGCGTATGTTCAACTACATCGTCTTCAAATCGGAGAACAGAGAGGCGAATGAGTGGAAGGAGGGGTTCTTCTTCGACTATGATAAAATGGAGCAAAGGTTTGGCGTAAATGCAGGCGAATGGGATGAGGAAAGGGATAGGATCCCTTTGGAATATGTCCGGAGGGTTCTGAAAAGACTCGGTGGAGAGCAAGAACAAAAAGATTTGAAAGGAGTTGGTCTAAAGGCCACGGAGGCGTTGTACAGGGACACGCCATTCCATTTCAAGTACTTTGTGTACCACGCCATAGGGAAAGTGGACTTGCTGACAGCCGAGTTGGGACGGTTGAAGAACGTTGCGCTTCATCTGTGTTGGGAGAAGAAAGGGCGACGGTCGACATTGTTGCCGGTCAACATGCACCCGAAGGAGTTGCTGCCCGCGGCCGACGAAATTGTGACAGCAGCCACGAACTTGAATTGCAAGGCCGCCATCCTCGATCTCGCAAACCCGAACGACTGGCTTGCATGGTCGCCGACCGATTTCGATGCTCTGCACATAATGATGTCGAAATTGTACGGCAATAATTTGATATTGATTGTTTTTGCCCCACAAAAACAACAGAAGATCGTCATGCGACAACTTTACAACAAGGACGACGTAGAGGTGATAACTTGAACTTGAAAGCATTATCTCGGGGTCGGGACGACTGTTAGCAAATACGGAAACTAGCAAGTCGATTACAAGGACACGATGGCGATCGTCCTGCATGCCAAGGGCGGCGACCTCAAGAAGGTCACGAGGGTCCCTAAGTCGGAGGCGGAGCTAGTGGAGCTCAACTTTGAGGAAGACAAGTTCAAGAGGTGCACAGCAAAGCATGGCGGCGGCGAAGGAAACGAACGAGAGGAATATGGGCGGTGGGAACGACATCCGACACGGTTGCAGAAGTTATGTAGTTCGTTTCTGCACGAGGATCAGGGGGTGATACTTATCGGAAAGCCGCATGCTAGACTGGTGTGGGAGCTTCTATGCGCAGGCTATCATGTTTTTGCATGTGACGCGTCATCCAAAGACATCTCGTACTTGACGAAGGCAATCGACATTCTTGGGAGGGACACGAGAAACGATTGCACGGTTGAGAGGCAGAAGACTGCGCAACGTCCGGAGAGAGATATGTACCACAAGCTGGGCAAGAAGAGAAACAAGATGTGGGACTATCTGTTCCAAGGCCAACCCAAGTCGCCATTTGAGCATGACTACATAGTTCGCAAAGCGATGGCACAGGAAGCATATGGTGGTTACCACAAAGCTTAGGTGGGTGTGTTTGCGATGTTTGTCGCGCGATGCGAGCAACTGAAGTTCATGACAAATCGGACAATGCTGACATACGATGACTACAGTAACTTTGCCAAGACAACAGATGCATGGTATCCGATCGAGAGCGGCGAGAAGACTGAAACCTCAGACCTCGATATCGAAGAGCGAGTGAAACGTTCGCGAGATGGAATGCAAAGTGTGCCTGCATGCAGCGTGCAGAACGAAAATCCAGAATAAGGTCCCACAAACTCGGGAGGTGCGAGCAGTCCTGCGCGTGATGTGACGGACAGGGCAAGTTCCATTGACCAGATGCAAACTGATTCGCCGACGCCCCTCCTAACACTTCTGAATGTATTGATTCATGGCAATAGTTGCGGGTTGCAGGGAAGACCTCCATATTGAGGAAACGCGGACCACGACATGCTGGCAGACGCTGACGAAGATGACTTGGATGTTCCAGATCCATCCCCGAAGCTAATGCCTGGTGATGATATACCCGATTGCATTGTGTAGGACAGTGCACAACCGTACTTCATTCATGACAAGGTGCCAGAAACGACATCTGAGAAGTGGGGGCATCACATTTTGTGGCATACGGATGTGTTCGAGCCGTGCGTCTTCAAGGGGGAGTGGATGATGACACTGCATCTATCATCGGGATGGAAAACCAAACCCAGACTGGTAGAAGAACCGTGGCTGAAAGTGGCGAGGAGCGAGATAGTCTTTCGTGTCAAGTGCGAAAACGATGGGGTGGACGAGGCGGCTATTGAGGAGGAGGCTCAATTGTTGTTCGATTCTCTGCGCTCAGCCAATCGACTGGAATATAAACACAAATTCTATGACTTGTCGTCAAGTCGGTCATACAAGACCATCAAATGGAAGATCGAACTTCCTCCTGCGTGCCAAGGCATCGAGACAATCCGGTTGGGATGCTCACAGCTTGGGGAGCAGTTGACAACACAGTTTGCTGCCAGTGTTGGGGAAGCAATGAGCACAACTGCTGTCAAGATGATGGGGGTGGACAAGGGAACACAGAATGTCAATGACGACAAATCAAACGTTGGATCGTACGGTCCTCCTTTAATAACTCATACGGGAAACCAGAGTGAATCGCAGATGGAAAGTCCATTCCTTCAGCGAACATGGCGGTCGCAGATGGAATACAACAAGGTGGGCATACAAAACGCTCGAGTGAGGCGCAAGAAAATTCCGATGAGATGATAAAATTGTTGATTGACGCAAAGAATGAGGGGAACAGGAAGATTGGGGGATCAACCACGTCACAGACTGTGACTAATTGTATTTCATTAAGCGATGAAGGGCAAAAAATACATGTAGAGGTGCACAATGACGTTGAGGATGCAAGGGACAAAGGCGATGAACATAAGGGAGTGAATGACGGAAGTCTTCCTACCGGACGGTCGACAAGAGAAAAAACGAAAAAACATAAGATTAATTTGTAGATATATGCAGAGGGTGATATGAGTGTTGTGTGTGTGTGTGTACGTAGGGGTGTGTGTGTGTGTGTGTTTGTGTGTGCGTGTGTATGTGTGTGTGTGTGTGTGTGTGTGTGTGTGTGTGTGTGTGTGTGTGTGTGTGTGTGTGTGTGTGTGTGTGTGTGTGTGTG